AGTTGAGAAAAAAAAGTAGAGCTCTGTGCCACTGCATCAGTTGGTCATAAAAACTCAGAGCTGACCAGGTGGCAAGGCTCAAGTTGTGAATGAGTAGCTCTGGTTATCTCTGGACAGCCGGGCCTCTAAATTCCAATTCTCATTCCAGCACACATCTTCTTGATGAGGTAGGTCACAGCAGCCAAACCCAGATCGTACCCAGGGTCGATGCTCTGTTGGTCCACATGGGTTTGGAATTTTTTTTTTTTAATTTCTTAAAAACTACAAATCACCTTATGTTTGAAAACATAGGAAGCATCTGGGAGGTGGGGCTTCTCTCTGCAGACTTCCCAGGGCACCAAACACCACAACAGTAGCAGCCACATGGCCTAACCCTTATCCCTCGGCCCCACTGCCAGGTATTGTTGGGTGAAATCACCGGAGTCCAAACCATGCCTCTGGGAGGAGGGGGGCAGGGGGCAAGGCTGGGGAGAGTGTAATGAGATGATTTGAAAGCCCTGTAAACTTTTTCCATTTTAACTGATATTTCTGGAGGAGGCACCAGCTCTCTCGGGAGGCCAGTTCTAAGGCATTCCATGGAGCCCAAAGCCAGCTGTAAAAGGCCAGCTTGGGGCAGAGCTGCTGGGGAAAGAGTTGTGCTTGGATTTCCAGTTGTTCCAAGTGTTGATTCATAAGGCCACAATTCGGGGAGGAGGCTACCTCTTTACTCCCCAGTCCCACGCGGAACACGGAATGGAATGACCTCAGAATACTCTCCACTTCCTAATGGTTTGAGAAGCAGAATTTCTTGCTTATTGATACGGAGGAAACAAACATTAAAAATCCAAAGTGAGGGCTCGGAGGGTTTGAGGCAATTTACAAGGATCACATGGGTGGGAGGCAGTAGGGTTGACAGAGCTCGGAGGCAGGTCTGGTGGATGTCCAGCCCGTGTTTTTCTCCTCGCTCCCCTGCCCCCCAGGATACTAGCACAGGACAAGTCTCTGGGGCTGCAAAGATCGAGACACAGCCCCGATTCCCAGGAGCCCAGATAAGGACAATGTAGGAAGTTCTCATTCCGTTAGAGAACCATCTTGGCCTGCAGCATGCTCCCTCAGTGACAGAGCCTTTTTACACCTCAGCGTCTGCACTTATAAAGCAAGGAATCATGCCTACCCTCAACTAGAATGTACCTTTTAATATGTTCAAGGATTTACAAAATATCCTAGGGCCCTTGGCACTATGTCAATATGGAGTGTCAGTCCGACCTTTAATGTATTACCCGTGACTACGACTACTTAGAACATTTAAGTCTGATGCTCTATGCATTAGCGAAATGAATTGGACTGGTAAGTATGGTGAGTTCATACCAGCTACCACAGCGCAAACTGGTGGGGGGCTCAGGTGACCGGATGTGAAAAGGTTTTGAAGGCCTGCTCCCAGCTTGAGTTGTGCTAATAAGGAAAAGCCCTAACTGAATCACAAGAAAAATGGGAATGCAGTAGAGGGAACGCTTCAGAGTGAAATGAGGGGCTAGGAAAAACATGTGGGTAACAATCACGGCGTGAAAGGAACCGGCCCACTCTTTAGCCATATTGTTTCCCGTCTCCCGATTTCAATTCACACAGCGGGGCTATCCGGCTGCTCCACAGCTGTCCCATTGCATCCCGTGGCAGGTAACCCTGGCCCTGGGCAGAGCGTGCACAGACCCGAGACAACGGACTCCGGGCCTGCCTCACAGGAGATGGCAGACGTCAGAGGGGGTCTGGCTTAACATGCCACAGGAGGGCTGTGCAGAAAGAGAGTCTGGTCAAGGCTCTGGAAAGCCCTGTGGAGTCTGTGGGGAACAATAAGAATGCAGAACATAAATGTAAGCTGCAGGCTGATGGGTCCATTAGGAATTAGGGCCGTCTTTGAAAGGAATCTGTGGAGATGATGCAAAACACCAAGCATGTGACCCAAATCGTGGCAGGGCAGATTGGAGGGAGAGGGGACTGGGAATGAGACATTTTCTAATCTGACTAGTCTGAAGTTTGCCCTCAGTGAGGAGCAGGGTCACTGCACAATTAGAGGCAGAGTTAGACTGAACATAGTCTGCTTAGCAACTCAGAGGGATGACCTCCACAAAGCTAAGCTGGGCTTGGAGGCGGATGCGCGCGGAGCCTGGGATGTCTTCGAAGTGAGTCGCAGAACAGTCTTTCTGCCTTTCATGTCAAATCGTAAAGGCGAAGACAAAACAGTCTGCTGAGAAAAGGAGAGGATGATGACTTGGTGGCCTCGGTGTTAGAGAAGAAACATCTAGGTCCTCCAGAGGCCAGGCTCCCACATCCCTGGACTTTCCAGGACAACACATCTCTGGGGCAGTAAGAGGTAATCTAATAAATATCCGCAGCTTCCTGACTGGAGACAGCTTAATGTGTGAAACGCTTTCAGATCCAACTGTTTGAAATCAAGGCTTCCTCTACATAGGACACAAGTTTCTTCCAGTTCATTTCTAAGTCAGAGTGTGTGGTCTATCGTCCCTGACTTCAACTTCTCTCCTAGGCCCCAATCACCACTTAGTACCAGGTGCTGCACTGAGTACTTTATATATGTTATCTCAAGTCACCCTCAGAACTGCCAGGAAGTAGGTATTATGTCATTTCAGAGGTGAGGAGTCTGAGGTTTGGGCAGGTCAAAAATCTTGCACAAGGGGCACCTGGGTGGCTGAGTCAGTTAAGCATCTGACTCTTGGTTTCAGCTCAGGTCATGATCTCAGGGTCATGGGATCGAGCCCTGCATCAGGCTCTGTGTTCAGCAGGGAGCCTGCCTGAGATTTTCTCTTCCTCTCCCTCTGCCCCTCCTGCTTGTGTGCATGCTCTCTCTCTCTCGCTCTCAAATAAATCTTTTAAAAAAAAATCTTGCACAAAATCACACAGCTTGCAAGTGGATTCAAAGAATATAAGAGACAAGTCAGGGGTGAAACTGAGAAGATTTGACAACCCACTGGTTGTTTATAGGTGGTAAATCAAACAGGTTGAAAGCAGGTCTCTACATCTGAATGGATCAAATATCAAGTCACGAATCTTCATTACAAGGTAAGAGACAAAAAGAGAAACACAGGGTTGTGAGAACCCTTTGGAGGAGATAATCCCTGCCAGCCAAGCAAATCTAAGAGGGCTTCATGGATAGGGTGCTACCTGAAATGGGTCTTAGAAGAAAGGCAAGCTTTCAGCAGGTGAAGAAAACTGGAAACTATTTTCTACTGAAGAAACAGCAAGAGAAAAGGCAAAAAAAAAAGTGGGAAGCAGGAGGTATACATGTGAAATGCTAAATAGCTCATGTGGAGGAGCATCTGGGTGGCTCAGTCGGTTAAGCATCTGACTTGATTTCAGCTCATGTCATAATCTCAAGGTCGTGAGATTGAGCCCTGCATCAGGCTCTGCGCTGGGCCTGAAGCCTGCTTAAGATTCTCTCTCTCCCTCTCCCTCTGCCCCTCCCCCTGCTCATGCTTGCTAAATAAATAAATAAATAGCCCATGTGGCTTTGGGAATGTGACGACTGAAGAAACCGGAGTCCTAGGCCTATTTCATCTCAAGTCCTTTACACCAGGATGACCTACTTATCCTTCACACTGATGCCAGTAAATAAAAGCAAGTTGAGCTGATAGTCCAGAAAATAACCTGAGGTCAATCCGATGCACACATCTGGCCCTCCTGAGTCCCCTTCTGATGCTTCAAGACCCTAGTTCTCCTGCATGGCATTTAGTTTTATCTGTTCCTTTGGTCTCAGATGAGGATGCCCCACTCCAGCCCCTGCTTGAGAATAATTGCTCCAACTGACAACCCTAAGCCTCCCAATGGAGAAGGGGGAGATGGTGTTCAAAACTCATGATTTTGGTCTTCCCTTAAGGAGCAAAGAGATTTACAGAAAGTTTGTGAGTGGAAGAGCAGCACTACGACATTTTTGTTTTTGGAGGGTATTAACCTGCTGTATGTAAAGACGGATTTAAACAGTTAGAGACTGGTGGAAGAAAGACCAACATGGAGGCCCTGTAATAGTCAAGAAGAAATGTGGGTCATAACTAGAGTGAAGATAGTGGGAATGGAGAGGAAAGTGGGAAGATAGTGGGGATGGCCAGGAATAGGAAGGAGGTAGGATTGTCAAGACATTCTTATCTACTGGCTATTTGTAGACAGTAATTCAAAAATGGTTAGAAGGAGGGGATGTACATTTGAAAGGTTCAGGGACTAAGTCACAGCTCTTCTTAGAAGACTGTGTGACTTTGGGCAAAACACCTCATCTCTCTAAACCTCAGCATCCTCAGATAAGGTAAGAGGCTAATAGTTGTAACTCACGAAGTTGTTCACACAAAGCAAGTGAGGTGAGGTCTTCAGAGCAATGACGACAATGTCTAGAACACAGTCCAAAATGTCAGAATTACCAAGATAAGTGAGTCAGAGGTGGGGCTGGGGATAATGCCATAGGACACTTAAAAGATGACCAGAGTCTGCGTAACTACAAGGGTGGTGTCAGGAAGTCAAAAGTAAACGTTCAACAGGAGAGCCAGGTGTTTTAGAAAGCAGTTCACTGTGCTTTCGTTTTGCAACATCATAATCTTCACACTTGACGTCTGGTGCTCGAGTAGGACAGAGCCCTGTGCTAATAACACTAGGCCCTCTTCCTGCATGTCTTTAGCCAGCAGGAACTACTGCTTTGAAAAATCTGCCCTGAATTTTAGATCTAATACCCTCATAACCAGTGAAGTTAAGACATCTTCATTTTGTCCCAGGAACCTGTGTATACCTATGTGTGTGTGTCTTAACATTAAAACGATAAAATAGCAATTCATAATAGGCTAACATTCAAAGTCATGCCCAACTTTTCCTTTTGTAACACTTAAATGGAGGTGTGTCATCAATAATATAATCGAAGCAGTCAAGGGTAAATCAAGAATAATTAAAGGTTGATGCACAACCAGGAATAGTACCCCCAAACAAAAATATGAAGGAAAAACCCCATGAAGGGTGGAGCTCTTGCTTACCCAGACAGTATGGATCCCAGAAGATCATCGGTCAAAGGTAACCTGGAGGACTTGCACAGCCTTCTGATGTCTTTGCTGGGTAATACTTTTTTTCTGCATTAAAACAAAGCAAACAGGTCTTTATATATTTTATGTCTCTCGAGTAACAATTACATGCTATAGGACAGAAAATACAGATGCGTCCTAAAAATCTGCACATGGAAATGAGTATGAAAATCGGTATTGGAATTCACAGTAAGGAAAAACAGTCATATTGCATTTCACCAACTCTTTCCATTTCAGAAGTTACCAGATTCTGTCCTTCCAAAGGCCTTTCCATCAAGATTCAGACTCTTGGTTGGTGACAGTACAATATATTACGGCTCAGCCACGAGTATTGCTCCAAGTAATCGATCTGCATTCTTGACCACTAGTCAAAACTGGTTCTGATATTTGAAAACATCTCTTAATTTGACAGGCATCTAGAGCCTCCAACACAAGTATTGTATGACTCGAGGGTGTTTTTCTAGTCTTTTCTTTGGACCCAAACCTTGTAGCCTTGAAGCCCCAGCTGGGGCTTTAACATTCACCTCGATTTTGTCAGATGCTTTCTCCAGAGCGGCTCAACAGCCATTTTCCCCAGCCTGCCAGGGACACAGAAATGCTCGTCCAGTGTTCTCATTCAGCCAGTGTTCTTCCAGGCACCAGGCAAAATCAGAACCAATAGGAAGGAAAGTGAGCTGCTTTATTCACAGTGAGTTTATAAGATGATGAGAGAATGTTTATGTCTAGAATTAAAGCTTGTCAGATCTGGAAGAACCTCAGAGCTGTCTGATCAAGCAGCCCCATCATTCCCAGGAGGTATTCCTTTAGTGAAGGAGGGTCACACTTCTCACCCTGGGCAAGGGGTACCACCAGGGTGGAAGGCAGGGCCAGGGTCATGCAAAGCTCAGGCCATACGGCCTCTGGAGGCTCAGGAAAGCTTAAAGGTTCAAGGAAAAATATCATCTTTACAAAAACTCAACAACAATGTATTATGGATTAGGAAAAAAAAATCATGTTCCTCATTAAGATAAACTGTAGGACCTTTAAAGGTATTTAGGGTATGCAGCCGGCCACCTGGGTACAAACTTCAGGCCTGGGGATGATGGGAGGGGTCATGGGGCAAAGAAATGTCAGTGATACGTAGTAACAAAATTAGAGGCTAGAGTTAGGACTAAGATTTTCTAACTCCTGGTGAATATTTCCCCCCTACAATATCAGGTCTGTGGGTAAGATGAACACCAAAACGTATTAAGATGGGGCTCCAATTTATACAAAAGACTTAATAAAGTGCAATAGAAACATGGCATATGTACTAGAAATTGATTATGCTGAGCTTCATTATTTTCAAGAAGAAATAATTTCAAAGAAATTCTATAGAAAGTTTACTTGTAAATTTCCTGTTTTCTGTATTAGAAAAGACACATTTATAAATCCCAGTTATCACTAAAATAATGTAAGAAGACATATCAGAATTAAACCTTCTAACATCTGGATTTACTATGTTTCGGTTGAAAGCCTCTAGAAGCCAATTAAAAGGAAAGGGAAAGAGGCATCCTTATTTTTTTGAAGATACAAGGACCTTCCCTATTCCATCAACAAACAAAGCTCACCATCGCTACGAAATATTGGTACCCAAATACTTTCCAAAAATGATTTAAAGTACATTTGCTATATAGTGAAGTATGATGGGACATCTCAATGTTCTTTCTGCCCTGTTGGATAAAGTATAAACTCCTTCATTACTTAGGGCCGCAGAAACTTAAATGATTTACTAAAATCGATAAAATAAAAGCTTACTTTTCTCGATCTTGGTATACACAAGTAGCAGTGAGCCTTTCAAAATTCTCAAAAGTGTTCTTCTTGAGCTGTTCATGGGCCTGTGCAATTAGGACATTCATATCAGGACTCGTGTCCTCGGGCACCTGGTAGTGACGTGCAAGGGTTATAACTTCATGGTCTGTGAGTTTCCCAACAGTTAGACTCATTATTATGTCTCTGTAAAGAAAATGAGAAATTACTCGTGAAATTACATCTAAGAATATTTTACTCTCTTTCTATTAAAAATATCTAAATTCCGGGGTGCTTGGGTGGCTCAGATGGTTAAGCATCTGCCTTCAGCTCCGGTCTTGATCTCCAGGTCCTGGGATCAAACCCTGTGTCAGGTTCCCGGCTCAGCAGGGAGTGTACTTTGCCATCTCCCTCTGCCTCTCCCCCTGCTCATGCTCTGTCTCTCTCTCTGTATCTCTCTGTCTCAAATGAATAAATAAAATCTTTTAAAAAATCCAAATTCCATTTTATAAAACTTTTATCAACTGCACAGAGGACAGGTGACTATTTTTCAATTTAATTGCTACTTCACTTATGAGCAGCAGGAAGACACCAGGGCTAGAAGGGAAAACCATTAAGCACTATAGTTTCTAAATAAAATGGCATCTTGCCCAGAGTCAAACTTCTACCAGGTAACAGCCTGCAACCAGAAAGTAAATCTTTCAAAGTCCTTGAATGGTCAAAAAAAAAAAAAAAACCTGTCACCAAATACATGATTTCATTCAATGCCTATTAATCTTACTTTACACAGAATAGTAACAGACTTGGGGTTCTGGCTTCCCAGGGTATAAAATTTATAAATCAGCACGTTCAAAAAGCCTTTTTGAGTTGGAGAAAGCAATTAGGAACATTGCTGCAGTAAAAACTAAGACTGACATACCCTGCCGGTGAGAAAAAAGTGAGAGAAGAGAGGAAAAAGTGAAAAGCTTTGTAGAGGAACAGTGTCTGAGTCTTTCGAAGGCAAATAGCATTAAAATTATGTGGCAGAGCTAGAAAAACAAAGGACAGCAATGACGTATTAATGAAGAGGCCTCAAAGCCTAACAAATTGGCAGGATTGTTTTCAATGTATTCTCTACATCAAAGTGATAAACCATGCAGCATGTGTAAGAAAGAAGTACAGCAAAATAGTTAAAATGCCAACTGCTACAGGGGTTACATGAATAAGCTTCCACCATCTAGAAAATCTACTTACTGAGAAAAATTCAGTTCCCAAGAATCCCAACTAAGTGATGGAAGACAAGATTTTATTTGCTCTTTGGCTACACACTGATATTTTGGAATAATGGGTTTTAGTTCTTTTATGTATTTCTTGTCATTATCACCATCATCGAAGATCTCTGAGCTTTCCTAGTCAAGAATTTCCTTAGAGTGTAGGAAAGCCCACAGCTATGATGTTGACCCACCTGAAGAAATTGCATTTCACCTATATCCACTTCTCAGGGTTTCTGGGTTTTTTGTTTTGTTTTGCCTTTATTTATTTATTTATTTTTTAATTGGAAAATGAAGACCAAATTCAACCAAGAGGACCCCACAATTGCATCAGGTCGGTTTGGGTCAGACAATCAATCAACTATATTAGCTGGGGACTCACTGTGTGGAAAACACTGCATAGTCACTTTGGCACCTGAGCTTTTCAGAGTCTATAAACTATTACAGCCATCCCAGCACACACAGATGAGCTCTCAATGCCATAAACTGGGAGGGCTGCTTGAATGAATTGAGTAATAATAATAACCCTTGCCATTCATGGAGTACAAGCTCGGTGCCAGGTCCTGTGCTGCCAGGGACTTCTGGCCTGGTTCATCTCATCTGGCCTAGAGGATAAGGACTATTACTTTTTTTAAAGATTTTATTTATTTGAGAGAGAGCGCAAGCAGGGGGAACAGCAGAGGGAGAAGCGGACTCCCTGATGAGCAGGGAGCCCGACGCGGGGCTCGATCCCAGGACCCTGGGATCATGACCTGAGCAGAAGGCAGACGCTTAACCGACTGAGCCACCCAGGTGCCCTGATAGGAACTATTATTATTCCCATTTTATAGATGAGAAACGGAGGCACTGAATACACCCAACATGCTGAAAGCCAGACTAAGAACCCCTGTAGTCTGGCTCCAAAGCCCATGGCCTTGCCTACTCTTCTGTCCTCTCTTCTGTTAGGACACAGAAGACAGAATGAGTGGATGGAGTGGGGCTCAGTGAGGGAAAGTTGCCTAAAGACTGTGGGTTTTAAAAGAGCTGACTGTTTATAGACCTCTACTCCCTTTACTGTCCATGACCTCTGCTTTGAGGACTATATCACTGATCAGCAGAAACAAGGAAGAGAAAATCATTTCAGAAACCCTGAGTCACCAACCATGAGATAGGACTACGAGACCACAGAGGAACCACTTCAAGGAAAGCCCCAGGCTCATTTAGAACACTGGTCATGGAATAATCAGTCATGACATGTGCATAAAATGGAACACTATGCAACCATGAAAAGGTTATTGATTGGTATTTACTGGTATGAAAGATGCCCATGCTATATGGATAAATGTATGATCCCAGTGAAACTGAAAATACTAGTACCTATATATTCATGGGTGAAACCGGGGATGGGGATTAAGGAGGGCACTTGTCGTGATGAGCAGTGGGTGATGTACAGAAGTGTTGAATCACGCTATTGTACACCTGAAACTAATATGATACTGTATGTTAACTAACTGGAATTTTTTTTTTTTAAAGATTTTATTTATTTATTTGACAGAGAGACACAGCCAGAGAGGGAACACAAGCAGGGGGAGTGGGAGAGGGAGAAGCAGG